GCCATGATAACACTCTACAATACATCGAGATTTAGTAAGTATCCTGTCAATGTTAACCTGTAGATCACTGTGTTGGCTCTGACCAGGCTTAAGTTATAAGAGCATACTGATAACAATACCAGATGTGTCTAACATTGGCAGGAGATCTCTAAAACCACGATCAACGACTATATTGTCGTCTTGCTCCAACCATGTGAGCTTGTCTATGATGCTATTTTGTAATACTTGCATCATTTTTGCTTCCAGAGAATGGTCCTACAGTGTCCAAAATATAACCATCAGATAGAGCTTTGCTCATGAATTTAAGATACTTACTCTCCTTCTGGCCACAGTAAGACATTCCATGAAGCTTATAGTAAGCACGTTTTTGAATATAAGTATATGTGCCATCTAGTATGGCAATTACGCTGTCTCCAAAGAATTTTTCTGAGAAAACAGTATTGTGTAAAAGTATGTTCCCTACTCAAATGGTCAGGACCAAGGAACACTGGAACTATAGATTTATTAAATGCTTGTACTACAGAACGATTGGTTTGTGAAATACGAGACAGAGAAATGACAAAAAGAGCGAAACACTGATTCCAAGAGATATCAGTTTTCATCTTAACCACAAAACAGTAAAAGAGCTTTTTATGTAACTTTGATATAACCTTAAGAAGACGGAAATGGGGCCATGTACGAATGGATTTTGAGCAAATATTCTTTGGAAAATCTTTCGCAGAAGTTTGGATTTGTTTTCCTTCGAATTAAAAATGTTAAAACACAACATTTTTTATGTGAATAGAACCCGTAAAACAGGTCTTTGATTGTTAAGAGAGGAAAATAACTATAAGTGTCATCTTCGAAACGTTTTGTTTTATATTCTCTTTTGCGCAGATACCTTATGTACACTGTAGCACTTCGGACAAATATTAACATCTTCATGACAATTTATGACACTTTTAGTCAGTATATCCAATAGCCATTTACAGTGTTAACTTTTGTTTTATGTTTCTTGTACCTTTACATTTACGAGAATTCTAAAAAGAGTATGAAATACTCACTAAAAGCAATGTAAAAACGAAAGTCTGATGATGAAATCTATAAAAAAATGTTAACAAAATGTACAAGAACAAATTCTAAAAAGTGACAAGGATATTGATCTCAAAATTGATTTTCAACAAAAACTTTATCAATCACACCAAGTGATGAAGCAACTCTGAATTTGGATTTTTTTGAGACCTAACATGCACTTTTTTTACACTCTTAGTATGTAACAAAGTTGTTTAGTATGTAACAAGGTTGTTTCATAATGGTTTGTTTCACTTTAGCAATACCATTCGCTGACTGTCGCCAATTAAGATGACTAATTTAGGACGTCATGCATCACACTGAGATGACGTCATACTTAAGAAGGTCATCTGACAGGTCAATGATTGTTAACACGGACGATTCAATTCAGGCACTTTACTAATACTTTGTTGGTAGGGTTCGGGAAAAAATCACTGCAAAAACAGTTGTCATAGAATGCGTTCATGTAAGAAACACGTTACCTACACGTCAACAATCATTGTTAACAAAAGGTATCAAAATTCCAGTTCAAGACATGAAAAGAGGAACCAAACTGTTTTAGAAATTTATGTTTGATACCACTGACTCTTCCTGGATAAGTCGTTTTTCTCACTTGAAGTCTTTCGACTCACCAGTTACTAAGTAATTTACGATATTTACAGTGCATAATACAAAATATCATTACACAACATTATACAAACCCACACAATAATTACAAAAAGAACACTATCACATGTTTGAAAAGTGCAACTATAGCTCTTTATAATGATCGTTTTTTTTCTAGAATTTCCAATTTTAATATTTTCTTTACTTCGCTACTTATTTTGTACTTTTTACACTCAGCAGTGCTATCAATTTAAACATGCTTGGCTTTTTGATGTAGTAAGGTTTGATTTTTTTCTCTCGAAAATCAGAAAAGCAATGGATTTTAAGAATAAAATGGAACTCATCTTCAACATCACCTAAATTACATAAAATGCACACTCTAAGTTTCCGCTCAATGCTTTGGTATTGCCCTTTTTCGTCAGTTAAGTTATGAGCAGATAATATGATTTTGATAATTTCTTTCAGATATTCGTTTGGTATTGGTTTACGCAGGTAGTTTTGCGGATCAAAATTATCGTAAAGATATCTATAACCATTTGCTTTCGAGGATATTTTAATTAATTTTGCACATTCTTGTCTACAATTATCAATTAATCTTGCCTTAATTAATGAATACAACTTGTTGTCGTCAGTAGAGTAGTCAGTATCATATTCCCAAATATACTCTAGGCTTTTCCTGTATAGCCCAACTTTGATATTCAGCATTCTTTTATCCTTGTTCTCTATGACTTCTTTTTAAAATACAATATCAGTTCTTTTCAATTTCATCCAATACTTATTTTGTTTTTGAATTTCCTTAACAATGATAGAGGATGCCTCCCAAGTTCTAAGCAGACTGTGGTATCAAACACTTTTACGTACGCCAAGCAATCTCTTACAAAACATAGTATGCACTTTCTCGACATCAGGGGCTTTATGAAAACCCCATATTTCCGCACCATAGCTTAATATACTATTTACAGATGTGTCAAACACAGACAATTGAGTTTCAGTATTAGAAACAAAACTGTGTTTACCTATACTCATTACTGCAAAAAATGCCTTTCTACCTTGTTCTGAAATTATTTTTTGTTTTTCTAAACGTCCCATTGAAATTTAACAATACTGATTGACAACCTTTATATGTCCAAATTTCTTCATTTTTCAGATAACCAACACATGACCTTTTGTTTGTTAACAATGACAGGAAGTCGCCATTGCTCAGTATCAGTTTCTAGAGAACTAACATTGATTGTAGACATCCTGGCATTTCTGAAATTATTACCATATCGTCTGCGTACAGAAATAAAATAAGAATATATTCAACATTCATAGTTCTATCGATGGGCAATGATCAATTAAAAATAGCATTTCAAAGTCATTTGCATCAATAGTCGACAAACCTTTCCTAAAACCAAACTGGGCACCCCTAATTTCATTGTGTTGTTTGTTGAAAACCAAGAGTCTATTAATTATTGATGATATTGATTACCAAACTGGGCATCCCTAATTTTATTGTGTTGTTTGTTGAAAACCAAGAATCTATTAATTATTGATGTAAAAGGTTTCCTTAATAAGCTTCCACGGGTAATGCCTCTGTGATAATTAACATCGTTCGTATCACTTCTTTTTAAACACAGGTACGATGTAACCTTTTGACCATGTTTCTTAAAAATGCCCAGATATTTAAGTATATTAGTAAATAAAATAACATAACATGGCATTACAACCGTATTACACTTAAATATGTATTCATTTAAATTGTTTTCCGGACCACATACGGTATATGTACTTGATTTATTTATTGCGTACAGTATCCCTTTTTTCTGTTTTATCTGTATTTAATTAATCAAACGATATAGTAGGAAAGTAACTACGTGTATCTTACTCGTACAAAAAAATATTTACGTTAACATTAATAGCAGGTTCGGTTGAAGATAATTTTTAAAATTGTTGAAACAAAAGCCATGCATCCAAGTAACACTTAGTTAATCTGCATGGTAGCTGATGTTTGGAGAAACATTTTCGTCTTCACCTGTCAACTATTTCTTATGAGGTTTACGTCATAATCAAGACAGCATTTATGTTATCTAGGCACAATGATTGACGGGTAATACTAACCAAAATCGAAAATCAAAGTCAATTATATATGTTTTGCACCTGGTCCTCGTATTGATTGAATGTAAACACGTACATTGTATCCTAGGTAACGTCCATCATACGTGTTTCGTGTTAATTGATGGATATCACTAGCACTATAAACATTATCACTGGTGCGCGTAATTCAGCCGTGACGGCCGGTATTGACGAAAGCCTCCAACACGGTAACTTAACGGTCAACCCTGAATATGAATACCATTTTATACTTATATGTAATACCTATCAAAATTTAAGAAGTCAATATATAAAGAAATATTACTGGAAAAAAATATATGTTTAAATTTATACAAGTATTGTGTGTTATCAAATCCAAGGAACTGTGTCAACTTGGTAAATATATTTTGGAAGCAAATAAATTGAGAATCTAATTAGATTTTCATGTATGTACTACGTATACACTCCCCAGTTTGCACTGTTTGTCGTGCCATCGTTTATTATGTAATGTATCAACATATTGATGTACTGATGTGCCACAAGACCTAAAGTTTATAAAATGAATTGACAGGATCGCATAAACATATGCTGAGATAAATTAGAGTCATTGGTTCACAACATTCGGTGTACACATGGATTTGTAAATACTTAAAAAGAATCAAACTTTTCGTATTGTCTGATCTTTCATCTTACAATGTTTAAGTTAATTGACATTGTAGAAGATCATTTTTTTATATTATTTTTTCAGTTTTTAGAAAGATATTAGTAAAGATAGATAAGAGAAAACTCTTAAATACACATCAAATTCAGGTTTATTTATTGCCCCTTTCTTTTAATATACAATATTAGTTGTGGTCACTTTTGGTAACATAAGAGTTATTACATAAATGTTCGTAAAACAAGCTCATTATGATTAGTTGTAAACGAAACCTATATATCCCAAATGTAGAATTGCAAACACATCATCGATAAGCAAAACAACTATGTGTTGATTTCTTTTCAATAAATTGAGTTTTTGGAGCAAGAATATAAAACTTTTATGTGAGTTAAGCGTCTATATGAATACAACATTGGTTGATAAAACTATACACTTACATCAATCTAGGCATCTAAACACACACACACACAAACCGAATATACACTTAAACCAGTGCGCTACTCTAGGTGCCCCGGAAGGGTAACTGATCTCTACATCGCATGTGGTACACACGTCTATTAAAATGTATTAGTGTGCGTGAAAAAAACCCAGATTAATGTGAATGCCTACTCACCTTTTGGCAAGTCCCCGATTATCAGCAGAATCAACAGAACTCCTCTCTTGACGCTGGACGTGTGATGTTTCATCTTCAGTTAGCACTGTAGTAATATCATATGTTAATAGACTCTTTGATCCGAAAATGTCTGAGTGTATCTATATATCCACCGTGGTATATTTATAAGTCTTTATATTGTTTCGCTGATCCTAACGATTTTTTTTTTTTTTTAAGAAATCTAGCTCAGCTTCATTGCAGGTACAATGCTAAAGGTAACAGTTTCATTTGTTCCCTGTAGATTCTAAAGATATGTTCACATATCGACAATGTTCGATAGAATGTTTTGTTTCTCTAAGCGCCAGACGTTTACGGAGAGAGATTTTCAAACTTGCGTGGCTATAATTTATTCTGTCACAAGTTAAATAAGGATGAATTATTAATTGGCCTATATTGATATTTTGATATGCTGAAATCACTTATGTAGCGATGTTGGTAATTAAGACTGCGATTTGTACAATAACTATCTTACATTGTAATAACAAACATACCGGACAAAATGATTCAGTGAATGATAGGTACGTATCATAAACTTTAACAAATAAATAAAAAAAAACGTGGCTAGTAAAAACCTACATCTTTATCCAATTAGAAATGAAACATCATTAACGGCCAACAGCTAAAGGGAAATTACCACACGAAAATGCATTTATTAAAACTTCATTAAATTATTTCTACCCTATATTGAATATCCATGTAAATATCTTACTGACACGCGGCGTAAAACCATGTTAAAATATCTTGTGTAGATTTATCATTAGTCGCTTCACCAGGTCCTCTTCACAAGGTTTATATGTATCTGGTCAGAGTGCTGGTTTATATGTATCTGATCAGAGTATTGGTTTATACGTATCTCATCAGAGTGTTGGTTTATACGTATCTGATTAGAGTGCTGATTGATAAGTATCTGATCAGAGTGTTGGTTTATACGTATCTGATCAGAGTGTTGGTTTATACGTGTCTGATCAGAGTGCTAGTGTATACGTATCTGATCAGTGTGTAAGTTTATACTTATCTGATCAGTATGCTAGTGTATACGTATCTGATCAGAGTGTTGGTTTATACGAATCTGATCAGTGCGCTGGTTTATACGTATCTTATCAGTGTGCTGGTTCATACGTATCTGATAAGTGTGCTGGTTTATACGTATCTGATAAGAGTGCTGGTTTATACGTATCTGATCAGAGCGCTGGTTTATACGTATTTGATGAGAGTGTTGGTTTATACGTATCTGATCAGAGGGTTGGTTTATACGTATCTGATCAGAGGGTTGGTTTATACGTATCTGATCAGAGGGTTGGTTTATACGTATCTGATCAGAGGGTTGGTTTATACGTATCTGATCAGAGTGTTGGTTTATTCGTATCTGATCAGAGTGTTGGTTTATACGAATCTGATCAGTGCGCTGGTTTATACGTATTTGATCAGAGTGTTGGTTTATACGTATCTCATCAGAGTGTTAGTTTATACGTATCTGATCAGAGTGCTTGTTTATACTATCTCTTCAGAGTGTTGGTTTATACATATCTGATCAGAGTGTTGGTTTATACGGATCTTATCAGTGTGCTGGTTTATACGTATCTGGTCAGAGTGCTGGTTTATATGTATCTGATCAGAGTATTGGTTTATACGTATCTGATCAGTGTGCTGGTTTATACGTATCTGATCAGACTGTTGGTTTATACGTATCTGATCAGAGGGTTGGTTTATACGTATCTGATCAGAGGGTTGGTTTATACGTATCTGATCAGAGTATTGGTTTATGCGTATCTGATCAGAGCGCTGGTTTATAAGTATTTCACCAGAGCTGGTTTATACGTATCTCATCAGAGTGTTGGTTTATACGTATCTGATTAGTGTGCTGGTTTATACGTATCTGATCAGAGTGCTGGTTTATACGTATCTCATCAGAGTGTTAGTTTATACGTATCTGATCAGAGTGCTTGTTTATACTATCTCTTCAGAGGGTTGGTTTATACGTATCTGATCAGAGTTTTGGTTTATGCGTATCTGATCAGTGTGCTGGTGATTGATAAGTATCTGATCAGAGTGTTGGTTTATACATATCTGATCAGAGTGTTGGTTTATACGTGTCTGATCAGAGTGCTAGGGTATACGTATCTGATCAGTGTGTAAGTTTATACTTATCTGATCAGTATGCTAGTGTATACGTATCTGATCAGAGTGCTGGTTTATACGTATTTGATCAGAGGACTAGTTTAAACGTAAATGATCAGAGTGCTTGTTTATACGAATCTGATCAGAGTGCTGGTTTATACGTATTTGATCAGAGGACTAGTTTAAACGTAAATGATCAGAGTGCTTGTTTATACGAATCTGATCAGAGTGCTGGTTTATACGTATCTCATCAGAGTGTTAGTTTATACGTATCTGATCAGAGTGCTTGTTGATACTATCTCTTCAGAGTGTTGGTTTATACATATCTGATCAGAGTGTTGGTTTATACGGATCTTATCAGTGTGCTGGTTTATACGTATCTGATAAGAGTGCTGGTTTATACGTATCTGATCTGTGTGCTGGTTTATACGTATCTGATCAGACTGTTGGTTTATACGTATCTGATCAGAGTATTGGTTTATGCGTATCTGATCAGAGCGCTGGTTTATACGTATCTGATCAGAGTGTTGGTTTATGCGTATCTGATCAGTGTGCTGGTTTATACGTATCTGATCAGTGCGCTGGTTTATACGTATCTGATCAGAGTGTTGGTTTATGCGTATCTGATCAGAGCGCTGGTTTATAAGTATTTCACCAGAGTGTTGGTTTATACGTATCTGATCAGAGTGCTTGTTTATACTATCTCTTCAGAGTGTTGGTTTATACGTATCTGATCAGAGTGCTGGTTTATACGTATTTGATCAGAGTGCTGGTTTATACGTATCTGATCAGAGCGCTGGTTAATGCGTATTTGATCAGAGCGCTGGTTTATACGTATTTGATCAGAGGACTAGTTTAAACGTAAATGATCAGAGTGCTTGTTTATACGAATCTGATCAGAGTGCTGGTTTATACGTATCTGATCAGAGTGCTGGTTTAAATTATCTGATCAACGTGCTGATTTATACGTATTTGGTCAGAGTGCTGGTTTAAACGTATCTTATCAAATTGCTGATTTATACCTTTCTGATCAGAGTACTTGTCTATACGAAACGGATCAGTGTGTTGGTTTATACGTACTTGATCAGAGTATTGGTCTATACGTTTTTGATCTGATGGCTGCTTTTGTACATATCTGATCAGAGTGCTGGTTTACGTAAGACAATCATAAAATGTGAATTGAATATATCAATTGATTAAATTATGGACATTATATCGATATTTTTGTGCTTATTTCAACGAACCATATTGTTTTACGCGGAAAATCACGAGACAACATTCCGTTAGCAATTCCATGGACTGTTCTACCTCTTGAACAAACAACACGAAATTTGAATTTAAATGAGTGTTGTTAACATAAAAATAATTATTAAAAAAAAGTAAATATATGCATAACACCGCGTTCTGTTCCGTGTTATGGTCCTATAACACAGAACAGAATGCTCTTCAATGCTTAGATATTTATTGTAAATGTGATTGAATCATAATTAATTCATAAACGTTCACGAGGCGATTCCTTCAGACCCTTTACACCAGTATTTCACACAGAGTTTACGCCTTGCAAGTAAACATTTTGATAGCTTTGTTAAAGTTAGTTGTTTTCGGTAGGCAAATCAATGTATGATAAAGATTCTGAGATTCTGATTATCGTGTGGTTCTCAAGACATAAAACCACTAATTACTGAAACGTAACTGTCGTCCTCAAGCCTACTGTATGTCGTGGGAAGTGATGATCACAGATCGTCGTATTAGCAAAGTTTGCCAAAGAATAACTCCTCAAATCAAGTGCAATACATTTATTCTGATAATATCATAAGATTTATTTGTTACAGAGATACAATACGGTATTTTAGCTCTCACTCTGTTTGCTTTTGTTACAGTTACAATAAAATATTACAATCAAGAGGATGTTCCAGTACTTGTATCAATTATCTCAATGGTAGCGTCTAAACGTATCAATGATCACTGGCAGAATACAATAGTATTGTATTGCAATGATTGGTAATAGATTTTATGATAAATATTTTAATAACAACAATAAAGTATGGCTTGGTGCCGAAGGTATAATCTAATAATACCGTGTCTAATGCAGTAGTAATCTAACATTCACACATTAGATAGTAACAAAAATAACTATTACAGTGAAATCAATAGAAAGTATTTCATTAAATACTTTCTCTAATTCATAAAAACACTAAACTCTGCGATTCTTGAAATGTATTTATTTATGTTATGGAAATTAATGAAAGCATCAATTTCTCTATTACAAGATCTCAACCAAATATCCTGTAATAAATATAAGAGAACACCAGACTCTTATAATTAAGCACTATACTTGTTTCAATAACTTGTTAATTATGGAAATTGATCAAAGCATCAATTTCTCTATTATAAGATTACAAACCAAATATCTTGTAATAAATATAAGAGAACATTAGACTCTTATAATTAAGCACTATACTTGTTTCAGTAACTTGTTAATTATGGAAATTGATCAAAGCATCAATTTCTCTATTATAAGATTACAAACCAAATATCTTGAAATAAATATTAGAGAATATTAGACTTTTATATCTAAAAATAACTTTATAGTAACAGGAGAGTTATGGAAATTAATCAAAGCATCAAATTCTCTATTACAAGATTCCAACCAAAGATCTTGTAATAAAATACAAGAGAATAATAGACTTTTATAGTAATATACTATACTTATTCACAACAACTGGATGAGTTTAACACTGGAAGTTATGGGAAATAATCAAAGCATCTATTCCCCTTTTACAAGATTCCAACTAAAGATCTTGTTATAAATGTAAGAGTACAATAGACTCCTAGGAATATAGTAAAATACTATAATTACTAACAATAAACTAAATAGATTTTAACACTAAAAGTTATGGAAATTGATGAAAGCATCAATTCCTCTATTACAAGATTAAAACCAAATATCTTGTAATAAAGATAACAGTACAATAGTCTCTTAGCTGAACACTTACCTTATAAGTTATGCTTATTAAAACAAGGGAGATAACTCCTGATGACACTAGTTAGAAAGGTGCAAGAATCTAATCCGATGCCGTGATGAATGAGCTCCTGTGCAGAAGTTTGCACCGCCTTTTATATAATTTAGTGCTTCCACATTTCCATATAAGGAATTGTGGAGGCCAGATGGCGGCGTTACTAAGACAACCGATTTATTTACAAAACAGTGTTCCGTCGCCGGAACGACAACACAGAGCCGAGACGGAAAAATGCAACTTGTCATCGAAACTACTTAAAATTGCAGATTTGCTAAATAATGTCCCATTGACTTGTTAGAATTGTCAAAACTCGTTTCTGTGCGGTATTTAAGAAATACAAAGATAACGGCCGATCGAGGCGTGATTGTCAACATTACAACCATGGAAGCAGCACGATTGAGCAGAGTGAAAATGTATTTAAAACAGCTGTAAAAAGATGTGAGTACTCACTTAATGTATTTCTTTAGACAAATAGAGCTGTGATATGCCAATTGGATTATGAATTATAAAACACAATGACCTACAACACTTACATCATCGATTAGTGATTTCAAATTTGCCCGCTCCGCTACGACGTGAAAACAAAATGGCGGCGATCACGGATAGTGATGCACTGCAGTGAAACTGTAAAAATTCACATAAAATCAGGAATTCGGTCAAATGACTAAATGACGGCATGTAATTAAATAAAAGATATTGTTTAATCTAACGATCTGTACAGCTCCCGGCAATGATTCACACATATTTAGCTTAAATTCATTGATATCTCAATCAGCGTTCATAGGGGGTTCGGATCATAATTGATTTAAAATCATTCCTTTAAATATCATCCGTTATTTTTGTCGCATATTTCCAATAGAATCTGTATTTCTTTCTTATGCGATCTAGCGGGTTAGAAATGACTTAATTGGAGGATAACGGGACTTAGAAGTTATATCATCTACCATTATTTAGGGGTTACAGATTACTGTTTGTAACGTACATGGTGTATCGATCCAGTCACCAACATGACCTTATCTATTGTCTTGTGAATGTGTTGACTACCAGACAAGTTAAACAAGCCAGCAATAGTTTATTGATTCTTTTTGAACTTTCTGGTATGCACTAAATAATTCAGCGATACTAAGTCGTCGGTTGCAACTTGTCTTGACTGATTTTGTTTTGTTGTCAAAGCTGTGACAAGTCAATAGTCAATTAAGTGTATTTCGTTTTATACTAAATGGATATTTTCCTTTTCTCACGTAAAACAGCTTTCAAAATACATTGTATATGTATCAATATGTAAACCTTTATAATGATCTTATTTAGGAGTCGGAAGGTGTATATTTATAGGGTCAGGATATTTGGCCTTTTTTTACGTCAGTTTGTTCAAATGTAACACGAAAAAATTACTTGTTTAAGCTAAGCTATTTTAGCTGGTAACAGGTTCAAGCTTACAAATATGTAACTCCGATCATTTAATCCCTACCTATGTCTTTTTGTAAAATTGGTAAAACTTTCCATTTTACTATGAATATCGTGGCCTTGCAACTGCCGTCATCATGACGAGGCCAAGCTGGTAAACGTAAAAACAACTATTACTTGCTTGGAGACGGCTGGTCTTGCTGTTGGGGAACAGGGGAAACAGTACAGCTTTGTTATAAATTCAAACATTTGTCAGATTTTGCCGATTAATCAACATACCGCCTTTCCAAGCAGAGCATTAACCTTCCTCCTCCAGGACACGCGTATGCTCGCAACACATTCCGGGTTTAGAGAGAAAAGTAGTAAGCATCGATCTGTGAATTGCATTGTCTGTATACATGCATTTTTATGTTATCTAGCTAGATTCTTGAAGCAGCTATAAAATAGCTTGTTTTATGGTATTCATCGAAGTTTTCTTAACATTCTCAATGTCAGCGAATGTAAGCTTCGTCATCCTTCTTAACTCTATAGAGTTATGTACTGATTACACGCTTCATCGCGGAAACTTGGGGTTACTCAGCTGTCTCAATTAGAAAGGACGCTCATAAACATACAAAATGTATACGTCGGGACTAAAGTTTAAATCGAGTTACTCATATAAATAATAACTGCGTGGATATGTCAATGAGTATATTCTTTTATTAATAACAAATAACAATGACGAAGATGAGAAAATTATTATATGCATGGTATGTATAAACTTCAGTGATCACGTGATGTTTCTCAGCACAGCTGGTACCATCACCTTGTCAATAACATGTATCACTCCGTTAGTTACGCTGATATCGGCATGAGTCACGTGAGCATTGTCAATCAAAACTTGACCTGCAAAAAGCAGTACCAAAATGACAATATGAACAGGAGTTTTAAAGATTAACACCCCTTACAGCGAAACGTCCCAAATACTACCAACACGTAACATTTAAATCACCGAGGACAGGGCTACAATGTATCTATAGCGTCGTGTTATTCTGCATTTACAAGCTGAATGCATCATTTTTATAAAATGTGTGTAACAATAATAGCTGTGTTTTTGTACATTATCCCAGGTAAAGGGAGATAATAAATGGTGCGTCCGTCCTGCGTTCCTGAGAATAGTACACCCTGCATAATACTTACCTCCGCTGATCTGTACCGTAAGATTCCCGCCCGCCACAGTCGGAACCTTTTGTCCGTCTACGAGTCCGCCACTATAGTACGTCCCGCTGACCACGTGGTATTCCAACAGCTCTGAAAATAGATATTGAATAAGTAACATTATAATTGGGTTACTTTAATTATGTTTAAAAGGTTCATTCTACAGTGTGTGTGAGTTTTGAACAATGTCCCAATCTATATTTTGTATGACAAAACGTCATCAATCCGGTATTTCCAAAGGATTTAAGTTTTGATCATTTGAAATGGATGTTTTTCATTATTATAACGTAACCTTGTACCAAATAAATAGTTTTGTTTAGAAATGTAATAGTGGGAAAAATCAATAATACTATTCTTGTCAATCTTGACGGTTGTACATGTATTATCAAAAACATGAGAATTACTTTAAGTTTTATTCAGTTACAAAGAGTCCGTTTTTCAAGAAGAAGAGGAGGGGTGTTTGGTTTTTCTTTATTATTGCTGTTGGAAATACTTGTAAGGCACGAACGTCAACATTTGGCAATCAAATTAAAATCAAGATCTTCCGCTGGATTTATAAAGTTGTGCACAAGTTATGTATCGCAATTTAATCAAATGCTAGGTTTTTAATTTTCAAACAATAGTGATATAAATATTAATTTGCACATTTAAAAAAAAATCATTACTGAGTGAGAATGTGTATCAATATTTCCGTCTTGCATGTCTCGTAAACAACAAACAATATGCCATATACACCCGTCAATAAGTATTGACCAATGAAAGCATTGTGTGTCCTTCATTCAAATACATATACTTTATTTACAAACAATACATAACTCGACAAACCTCTGTTCTTGTTTTAAGATACATTTCTGTAACTTTGCATTCACATGGAATTAACACTGTATGAACTTAAGCATACTCTAGATTATGTGCTGACATTTTCTTTAATACGTTCACTGTATATCTAATATCTTCATGAGCGATCCAGCAACCTTGTTTGCTAGCCGAAACCATTAATTTTCAAAATCACAAATAAACAATTATTAAATGAAAGAACGTTACGAACAGTGTCTGTAGTATATCTGAGTTGGTGTGGCTGATTCCGTCTCCGCCAAAAGCGTCGCAAGCATTAAAGTCATTAAAAGCTCCAAGGCACCACAACATAAATTTAAATACCTTGCGATTTGTTGAGGCTGAGAAAGACGGTGTTCAGGAAGTTTGGCGGGAGATCATACCAGGCAGAGTCGACGGGGGCAAACACGGTAAATGGACCTCCTGCCAAACAGTAAACGCGAACAACTCGAGTTTACATACGACATTTTCAGGAATATATTGATAGAGAGGGATACATGTTACTAATAGTTGAATTTAACTTTTGGCATCGTAATTTTTCTTTCGGAGCAGCTCGGACATTCAATGAAACTTGCATTGAACAGGAAATAATTTCGATGTGGGGGTCAATATATTCACACCAAAAGTCAAGACATTTTATGTTGTCGTAAGTTAGAAAAATACTTTAGCTTATATCTTTTTAGGGTTTGTATTGGAATGCCTTTTTTTAAATTTTGATAATTTTCCTGTACTGCATAGTGTGAAGAATTGCTCTGACTGCGTCTATATACATAACCTTTCTAGAGAGTTAGATGGTTTGTTTTTTATTCGCGTTTTACTTTCTAGAGAGATCTGAAGGCTTGTATTATATTCGAGTTTTACTTTCTAGAGAGATTTGAAGGTTTGTCTTGTATTCGGGTTTTACTTTCTAGAGAGATCTGAAGGTTTGTTTTGTATTCGGGTTTAACTTTCTAGAGAGATCTGAAGGTTTGTCTTGTATTCGGGTTTTACTTTCTAGAGAGATCTGAAGGTTTGTATTATATTCGAGTTTTACTTTCTAGAGAGATTTGAAGGTTTGTCTTGTATTCGGGTTTTACTTTCAAGAGAGATTTGAAGGTTTGTCTTGTATTCGGGTTTTACTTTCAAGAGAGATTTGAAGGTTTGTATTGTATTCGAGTTTTACTTTCAAGAGAGATTTGAAGGTTTGTCTTGTATTCGGGTTTTACTTTCAAGAGAGATCTGAAGGTTTGTATTGTATTCGAGTTTTACTTTCAAGAGAGATCTGAAGGTTTGTCTTGTATTCGGGTATATTTTCTGGAGAGGTCTGACGTTTTGACTTGTATTCGGGTTTTATTGTCTGGAGATGTATGACGTTTTGTCTTGTATTCGGGTTTTACTTTCTGGAGAGATCTGAAAGTTTGTCCTGTTTTCGGCTTTTACTTTCTGGAGAGGTCTGACGTTTTGTCTTGTATTCGGGTTTTATTTTCTGGAGAGGTATGACGTTTTGTCTTGTATTCGGGTTTTACTTTCTGGAGAGGTCTGAAGTTTTGCCTTGTTTTCGGGTTTTACGTTCTGGAGAGGTCCGGAACTTTTCCCTGTGTTAACTTGGTAATTGAGTGAAGGTTTTTCTAAATTCGCAGACATTTTGGCGTGTTCTGGTTGAACTTCCCCCTACAACGTTCTCAGAATATGTCCTTATTACACGTATATCGCTAAAGTGCTTTCATATCGTGTTTACCATGTTGAATGATCTAAAGGTTTAGCCTGTGTTTACATTGTAGAGAAGTCTGAAGGTTTAGACTGTGTTTACCTTGTAGAGTGGTCTGAAGGTTTATATTGTATTTACCATGTAGAGTTGTCTGGAGGTTTATATTGTATTTACCATGTAGAATGCTCTGAAGGTTTAGACTGTGTTTTCCTTGTAGAATGGCCTGAAGGTTTATATTGTTTTTACTTTGTAGAGTTGTCTGGAGGTTAAGACTGTGTTTACCTTGCAGAGTGGTCTGAAGGTTTAGACTGTGTTTTCCTTGTAGAATGGCCTGAAGGTTTATATTGTTTTTACTTTGTAGAGTTGTCTGGAGGTTAAGACTGTGTTTACCTTGCAGAGTGGTCTGAAGGTTTAGACTGTGTTTTCCTTGTAGAATGGCCTGAAGGTTTATATTGTTTTTACTTTGTAGAGTTGTCTGGAGGTTAAGACTGTGTTTACCTTGCAGAGTGGTCTGAAGGTTTAGACTGTGTTTTCCTTGTAGAATGGCCTGAAGGTTTATATTGTTTTTACTTTGTAGAGTTGTCTGGAGGTTAAGACTGTGTTTACCTTGCAGAGCGGTCTGGAGTTTTAGACTGTGTTTCCCTTGTAGAATGGTCTGAAGGTTTATATTGTATTTATCATGTAGAGTGGTCTGAAGGTTTAGACTGTGTTTTTCTTGTAGAATGGCCTGAAGGTTTATATTGTTTGTACCCTAGAGAATAGTCTGAAAGTTTAGACTGCGTTTACCTCGTAGAGTTGTCTGAAAGATTATATTGCATTTCCCTCATAGAGTGGTCTGAAGGTTTAAACTGTGCTTTCCTTGTAGACTGGTCTGAAGGTTTAGACCGTGTTTTCCTTGTAGAGTGGTCTGAAAGTTTATATTGTTTTTACTTTGTAGAGCGGTTTGGAGTTTTAGACTGTGTTTACCTTGTACAGTGATCTGAAGGTTTATATAGTGTTTACCTTGCAGAGTGGTCTGAAGGTTTATATTGTATTTACCTTGTAGAGTGGTCTGAAGGTTTAGACTGTGTTTACCTTGTAGAGTGGTCTGAAAGTTTATATAGTGTTTACCTTGTAGATTGGTCTGAAGATTTATGTAGTGTTTACCTTGTAGAGTGGTCTGAAAGTTTATATAGTGTTTACCTTGTAGAGTGGTCTGAAGGTTTATATTGTATGTACCTTGTAGAGTGGTCTGAAGGTTTCTATTGTATTTACCTTGTAGAATGGTCTGAAGGTTTAGACTGTATTTACCTTGTAGAGTGGTCTGAAGGTTTATACTGTTTTTATCTTGTACAGTGATCTGAAGGTTTATGTAGTGTTTACCTTGTAGAGTGGTCTGAGGATTTATATAGTTTTTACCTTGCAGAATGGTTTGAAGGTTTAGACTGTGTTTACCTTGTAGAGTGGTCTGAAGTTTTATATAGTGTTTTCCTTGTAGAGTGGTCTGAAGGTTTATATTGTATTTTCCTTGTAGAGTGGTCTGAAAGTTTATATTGTGTTTACCTTGTAGAGTGGTCTGAAAGTTTATATTGTATGTATCTTGTAGAGTGGTCTGAAGGTTTAGACTGTGTTTACCTTGTAGAGTGGTCTGAAAGTTTATATAGTGTTTACCTTGTAGAGTGGTCTGAAAGTTTATATTGTATGTACCTTGTAGAGTGGTCTGAAGGTTTATATTGTATTTACCTTGTAGAGTGGTCTGAAGGTTTAGACTGTGTTTACCTTGTAGAGTGGTCTGAAAGTTTATATAGTGTTTACCTTGTAGAGTGGTCTGAAGATTTATATAGTTTTTACCTTGCAGAATGGTTTGAAGGTTTAGACTGTGTTTACCTTGTAGTGTGGTCTAAAGGTTTAGACTGTATTTACCTTGTAGAGTGGTCTGAAGGTTTATATTGTGTTTACCTTGTAGAGTGGTTTAAAGGGTTAGACTTTATTTACCTTGTAGAGTTGTCTGAGGGTTTATATAGTGTTTACCTTGTAGAGTGGTCTGAAGGTTTATACTGTTTTTATCTTGTACAGTGATCTGAAGGTTTATATTGTGTTTACCTTGTAGAGTGGTCTAAAGGTTTAGACTGTGTTTACATTGTAGAATGGTCTGGAGGTTTAGACTGTGGTTACATTGTAGAATGGCCTGAGTGTTTATATTGTGTTTACCTTGTAGAGTGGTTTGAAGTTTGAAGGTTGATATTGTTTTTACCTTGTATAGTGGTCTGAAGGTTTAGACTGTGTTTACATTGTAGAGAAGTCTGAATATTAAGCATGTGTTTAACTTGTAGAATGGTCTGAAGGTTTAGACTGTTTTTACCTTATAGAGTGGTTTGATTTTTTTTTATTGTTTTTTTTTTTATCTTGTAGAGTGGTCTGAAGGTTTAGACTGTGTCTACCTTGTAGAGTTGTCTGAAAGTTTATATTGGTTTTTACCTTATAGAGTGGTCTGAAGGTTTAGACTGTGTTTACCTTGTAGAGTGGTCTGAAGTTTTATATAGTGTTTACCTTGTAGAGTGATCTGAAGGTTTATATTGTATTTACCTTGTAGAGTGGTCTGAAGGTTTGCTCTGATGGCATTATACACGAGCTGTCCGAGGTTTGGCTGGGATGCGGCATAAGTGAGGATGCTATGGTCCGGGATGTTGTACATCACGTGATCTATCACGTGTATGATTCCGTTGCTTGCCATCTTGTCGACTGCTGTAACCCTACTTCCGGTCATCATCACTATCTACAGAAGTGGAACAAGCATTGCATAAGTTTAACAGGATGTAATAAACCTTACCATCCACCTGTTAATATAAAATGTCATTGACACATCAAATATGATTTCTTGTAAGTGGTGATTAATGGTTCTTCATTAGACGATTTATGTATGTCGTGAAAGTATGTTGCTACATTTTTAAGCATTTTCCAGTTGATCACGTGTGCGTCCTGAACATGTGGATCTCAATTAAAACAACAGCGACATCTATAAAACAGTCGGGTGTGTCGATATAAACGCATTAACAAGTGACTTATTTTTTTATGAGGAAGAATGAGTAAATCCCAAACTTGAAATCAGGTCCTGTCTTTGAAATGCACATTTCACTACAGTGCACGTGTAAACACTGGCTATGCACGTACACAGTCACTTGTCACTCACCGTGTTATTTTGATACATGTTAACTCTGATTTTCCGGTAGGGCAACAACGTCGGCAACACGAAGTCATTGATGAGGTCGGACGAAAGGATGTCCCCGCGAACAACATGGTATTTGAGCACGTCTTTTAAGAGGGAAACATTCTGCTTGAGGGCATTAAGCACATCTGGCGGAAGTTGATTGAATGCGTCATCGGATGGAGCGAAGATGGTGAATGGGCCTGTGGTAAAGACATTGCATTAAACCTATTTCATATTGCTGATATTAGATTGATTTCTAGTCGATACACCTACTACGAATCAATTTAAACAAACGTTATCTTCGGATTTTCATCTTTGTTGTAAAAAACATAAACACTGGTTTGGTCGGGTGATACATCGAAGGAGACGCATTGACGAAAGGAGAAGGGGATGGTGGGTCTTGAATTACGATCACTGTGGGCGAGGAATGATTGAACCGAGGGGTATCGAGGCGGTGCTGTCTGTCTATCATACATGTAAATGGTCTGAACTGACCAATTTCTGATCACGTGACCAGGTAAGTTACAATGAATGACGCAGCGTTTGTACTAGTCTAGAGCAGTTTCAGAACGTGCTAAACTTGAACGGTCAATGAATAATTACATTTGTACACAAACAGCTATATTTAAACAATCGCACATCCTAGTATGTCTGGTAGAACATTACAGCATAATCAGATTCTGTGATACGAGTGAGAATACATATGATATTTACTGTAACACTTACCACTGACATTAACGATTTCAAGTCTTTCTTATATTCGCCTGGAACTCTAGTGGATAAGAGTCCCATATCGCAGTACACTTACAAAGAAGATAATAACGAAGTATAGTACAAAAACATTTAACCTTCTATAACAACGAAAGACAGTGATGTATGATCACTTACCGCCGTGGGCAAGAGTATCGGTCAGTCCAGCTTGTTGTACATAGCTGACCAAAGTGTTGGCGCCAAGACTGCTGGCCAATTGTATCAAGTTTGACTGACCAGTGGAGAGAGCTGAGACAGCTCCGGCAAGACTGACCAGCAGGCATAACAAATTGACCCTCATGTTGTTCGGTAGAGTTTGTTCGTGGAGTCTAGTTCCCGAGTCCGACCACCGTTATATATACAGGCACTGTACGGTTAGGTAATGGTCACTCTTATCTCTCACGTGTCAAACAAACACGAGACCCCGCACGTGGTGTTTACAGCTTACTAGAACATACTGATATTACGAAACTCTGTCCTTTTCTATTTTTATGGTTTTGTTTATTGATGTTATAAGGTACATTTTTTTGTTTTTATCTAGCTCACGACAACATCATCGTACAGTAGTTCGTGATTTAAAAAAATAAAATTTTATGGCGCTTCGTTGAAAATAAACAACACTGACCGATGATAATTGAATGTACTAAATGCATCCTTACTCATTACATGACATTAATGACGGGTTGCTATTGTTTTCTGCGTTCGACGAGCAGCTGAAATGATGTAATTTAATATCAGCTCTTTAGACTTGGTAGTACACGACGCCAATCACAGTTGATGTTGTCATGTGCTTTGCATAATTTAGCAATCTTTATGTTGTGTGATGTTTTGAGTGTTCTCACGACCCACGGTTCCAAATCGACAGTCTATAAATACCCCGACTTTGAAAGGTGAGTAGTCCGATGGTCTCGACATGATCATATATAGTGACAATCTGTCTATTTATTACATGAGTTCCTAGATCGCAATGTATGGAAATACCGTAATAACCTTTTGGCATGTTAGAAACCATACTATTTAGAAATGTAGTTCGCACCAGTGTATATGATACATTGTGTTTATTAATTTGATAAAAACATTAAGAAAGACTAGTGGCAAATGCAAAATACTGCGATAAATCACATTTTGTTATGCTTGCACTAAACAACCAATCAGAAAGCAGGGCTTAGTGTAAAGGTAATAAACAATACTCAATCTCATCGTTAACTGTGACGTCACGATAAGTTATTCGTTCTGAACATATTTAAACATATTTGTATTTTGGAACAAATTTCCCCTGATATTTAACTACTGAACGGCAATTATTGATGGCAAATCCAATGTGCATTTCCCCGCGAAAGGGGATGGGAATTGGGGTTACCTTTACCGTCCAAAAACTAAAAGTGACATAGTCTATCATATCATATCTTTTCACGAAACTTGACATGTTATGCGAGATAAGACACCATAATTTGTCTATTAAGGATCTAAGTAATAGTAGACAGATAAACAGGTATACATGTACATAGGGTTAGAACGTCGTCGGTTTCATGGTCACATTCCTAGACATCGAGGTGTCAGAGGAATCTTACTGACTGGGTCAAGGACATTAAGTACACCAAATGTACCCAGTGAAAAGTCTCGTGACGTTAGCGTGGATATCTTTATAGATTTTAGTGCAAGTAATGTTTCTTAAAGCACCAGATGCAAAACAGAAAGAATATAGATAACTGCTTTACGTTCAGTCATGGCTTTGGTCGCCTTTTTGTCTTGGAAAAAATAATTAATTGAATTTTGTAACAACAAAATCGGAATACAAGGGAGTGATATGATCGGTGCCAGAATGTTCTGTCGGTCTCTCCTTAGCTGTTCCTCTTCCATCCCACACATGAGGTGTATTTTGTCGTATCCCCCGGTCATCTACAGTATTAAATAAAGAGTACATGGATATACCTTCGATGAAGTTTGCAGCATTGCACCATGTGTGTTTAGTCTGACATGACACCGATTCGGTAGGATTCAAATCGTTCCCCTCGTTCCACTATACGTCACTTCCGGTTTATACCCAAAATAGATACATTAATGTTTTTTTCAAGTTTTCAAGGGTTTTTTTAAGATAACTCGCTAGTGCCGTAACCTTATTTGCTAAAAAATATCTTATTGACTTCAGATATTCTGTGTCTAACATTTCACGTGAATGTTCAGAATCACCAGATGCGCTGTTGAAGATGACTTTTTTTTTAACCCTCGGACCATGGGTTAATGACTTAATTTGGTGTAAACGTAGCTAATTTGTGTAATAAATTAGTTTCGAGGAGTATACAGTATAAAATACATCATATATATATTTATTTTACTGAATTTGAAGTAATCGTCAAAATAGGTTACCCTGAAAACGAAACAGGAACTTAGGTTTACGTAGTTCCTTATTCATTATTGCATGATGGCTAATGAATAACAAATAAGGCACCAACTTTAACCTCAGATAGTTTCATCTCGGACTGTCATTTTGATAATTTATTCATATTTCATGGAAATCAAATTACCTGTCTTTTTCAATAACATGATAAAACCATACAAATTTAATGGACCCGGAAATAATATTAATTAATGTCTATTATACGTAGTCGCCGGAATGTATAACAACATAATTATAGATAAGACCATCGCAGTCTGTGATATAACACAACAACACATGCCACTTCCTCAAAGGGCACATGGTGCAATCAAACCAACCAACAGCCTATCGTATCTCTACATCGAAAATTCAATCCGATACTTGTCCAATTATAAGTTATTTTCCTTTCCGTGCTTCTATAGATCGTCGCCTGCTATACAGCTTAACTCGATAGTCCTTTTTTCTGAGGTTACCGTGAGGAAAGCGAACAGTTAGATTTGCTGGGTAGCGTTGTACAGAAAAGGCAAAGGTGAGTTACCTTTTGTTAAAATTCAGACACCGTAGAAATTGACACTTATTCCTGTGAACGCAGTGGAAATTCGCGATCGGCGATATCGCACATTTATACAATACGACGTCAGCGAGGCTCACAGAGAAGAATCGGCCATGACATATGTCGATAGTCCGTTTTTTGAAGTTACCGTGAGGATAGCGAATAGTTAGATTTGTTGGCCAACATTGTACAGAAAAAATAAAGGTAAGATACCTTTTGTCGACGCTTGTATGTATAAATATGATTGTACATATGTTTACTCAAACTTTCTGCAATCTTTCGGTGTAATATTTCCGCATACATGATATATAAACTGGTGACAGTGACAACTAGTAAAAGTAGATACTTTAGTATAACAAGCTTTCACTTGGTACGAACTCATATCGCCTACACGGCGGCCCATTGTTAATACATCAAACTGTCACCAAACGCCCTAGCCTACATAGAGGCTAACACGCAAACAAGTCTAGTGGGCTATATTTCATTAAGCTTTTGTAACATATCAGAACAACCCCATCTACATTTATTTTTTAAACCCCAAAAATAGAAGGAGTCAATTGGTGTGTCATATAGACTGGACATAGGTCATATGGTTATCATATTGATGGTTCCGGAGGTTCCAAACAGGGTTGTATGAAGTCGTAGTTCTCAAGAGGATAAGGCCTAAACCACGTACATGTATACAAATGATTTATAAACTAGTACATCACAGTTGCAATTGTAATACAGAAATGGAAATTGTGTAAAAAGGTGTTCTCCCTTGTATTTAAGACTTAAATTGTGAAAACCATAGATAACACATCAAAAATTTAAAAAATACATTAAAAAATGCAGAAAATTGTTATTTTTACCCTATTTTTACCCTAACCATGACTCTCACAGATAGGAATTTTTCTCCTAAAACATGTCTTAAATTCAACATCACTTTCATCCTAACCAAAATACTCGGTCACAATTCAGCATACGTTCAACATTAATTTCTTTACGCAACCTTCGCATGTGTTTGATGTAATTGTGTTGGAGTAGATTACAGACTGACTTAATTAAAATCTCAAACCAAATACAAATTTTACATTATGAAAAATTATGCAGCCTTACACTGTTCACTTTAAAATGACAAATACCAATTTTAGTAAAAAAAATGTTTTATACAAATTTATACATTGTATACAAATCCATGGCCTGGCCCGTATACTGTGGTCTTCTACATTATATGGAAATGTTTTTAGCACACCTGGCCCGAAGCGCCAAGTGAGTTTATGCCGAGGTGCAGCGTCCGTCGTCGGTCTGTCGGCCATCGGCCATCGGCAAACGTCAATATTTTGCTTTAAACAACTTCTTCTTAATAACCAAAAAGCCTAGGGTGATGATATTTGGCCAGAGGCAAACTGAGTCGAAGGGCTACCAAGTTTGTTCAAATAAATGACCTTCGCCAATTTTCAAGGTCACAGGGGTCAAATATGTTAAAAACTTTAAACAACTTCTTCTGAATACCCAAAAGGACAAGGATGTTTATATTTGGCCAGTAGCATGCTAGGATGAAGGGTTACCATGTTTGTTCAAATGAATGACCTTAAATTATTTTCAAGGTCACAAGGATCAAATATGTTAAAATCTTCAAACGACATCTTCTCAATAACCAAAATTCGCAGGATAATGATATCTGGCCTGTAACATGATGGGATGAAGGGCTACCACGTTTGTTCAAATGAATGACCTTGATCCACTTTCAATGTCACAAGGATCAAATATGTTAAAATCTTCAAACGACATCTTCTCAATAACCAAAATTCGCAGGATAATGATATCTGGCCTGTAACATGATGGGATGAAGGGCTACCAAGTTTGTTCAAATGAATGACCTTAACTAACTCTCCAGGTCACAGGGTTCAAATGTATTAAAATCTTCAAACAACTTCTTCTCAATAACCCAAAGGCCCAGGGTACTGATATTGGGCCTGGTAGCATGCTGGGATGAAGGGCTACCAGGTTTGTTCAAATAAATGAGCTTTGCCCATATTCAAGTTCACAGTGGTCAAAATATGTTTAAATCCTTAAATGATTTGTTCTGTATAACTAAAAGGTCCAAGGTAATGATATTTTGCTAGAAGCATGCTGGGTTGGAAGACTATAAACTCTGTTCAACCTAATGTCCTTGTTCGACATTCAAGGTCACGGGCGTAATATGTTTAAATCTTTTAATAGGTTCTTATGAATCAAACACTGATATTCTGCCTGTAGTTGTATTTTAGTTCACTTTTAAGATTACAAGTGTGAGATTAATACCAGGTGAGCGATTCAGGCCCATTGGGCCACTTGTATAACTAGGGTATGTGTATGGATTTAAACAGAACACACAGACATGACTGTACTTGAAAGTCAAGTGTTTCATGTAAATAATAT